TGGAGAGTGGTCTAGCTATGACTTCAGCAAGAAGTTAAAGATAAAATTGAAGTACTCAACTTTTTTTTTTAAGAGTTATTTTCTTTTTGTCTAGTGACAGTCAATATTTCCTCTGTAATTCTTGCCTCCTTTGCACAGTAGCAGCTCTAAGAAATATTTAAGAACTAAAAAATATCTATTTTGAAATATGCAGATTTCAAATAAGCTGATTCAATATCTAGTTTTAAAACAAGGAGAATGTAAGACAAAACTGAAGACAAAATCTCACTGAAGATTGGATAAGACACTACAAAACTCAGCAAAAAATAAACCAAATGAAACGAGCACCTGAGTATGCTGAACAAGAAGGGCCAGTAGGATGTTACAATAAACATGCTACAACTTTGCAAGTCTCCTCTCATGCTGTTTTTAACCAATTTATTCTCCCCAGGATTTGTTTCTGATCAGAAAACCTCTACTCTCACTGAAATCACTAAGACAATTAGTAAATTAAGCCAGTACTGCCTGTAACTGTAGCATTTACTCATCAAGATTAAGCAGGTTTTGAAGGAAAGAGAGTAAGGGGAAGGCATTATTATCCCATCCTTCTCTCTATTATCACTTAGATACACTATAATAAAGCACAGACTTCTTCAGTCTCAACACAAATATTCTGACTTCTCTACTCATCTTTGAGCAGAAAGATAATCTTAAACCTTTCTGGATTCATGTGCAGCAACATTTATTCCAGAAATTGGTTCTTGAAATACTATAACATAGGAAGAAGATTCAAACGCATTCAGCTGATGCTGGAAGTTTGCAGCTGACAATAATGGGTTCCCACTTCATCTGTTCCCACTTAATCCTACTTTAGTAATTGGCACCTTCTCCTCTCTTCAGTGTATTCAAACTACTTCACAGTGCCCCATTTTTCTCACTACTACACCTTTTGTCCATTGTGCACCACGTCAAATGTTAAACTCTCTCCCAAATCATCAGATTTCCTTTATAGTGCCAAACAACACACTTGCCTTTGCAGATCCCTGACTCCTTCGCTATAGATGGGATAGTCCAGGCTATTAATGGGGGCAAAACCCCCTGATCTTCAGAAAGAAGGCAGGATTAGCAATACAGGCTTAACATTCTGACTTCTTGTGGCAGGAAAGGCAAAATATCATATTGTCATATTGATTTCTTGCCTGCACCGCACATCTAAAATTGAGGACACAATCCTGGATTTTAGGATATTCAGAATGTCCACCTCACGTGTGACAAATATAAAATGAGAGCTGTCAATTCAAAACAGCAGTTAAAGCTTACTGCCTGAAATGTGGAAATTAAAATAACTGTATCTTTTAAAATTCTCTCTGACCAGGTTTAGAAGGGAAAGCAAGTGGCTACTTGAAACAGTAACGTATGTAAGCAGCAAAGGGGAACCAGTACAAGAAATCTTCAGAGCTTCACAGAAAACGCATTCTCTCCCTAGTGACTCTGTAGAAATAGTCTAGCCTAAATGAAACACCAAATGCAAACTCCATACTTGCCAGCAGATGCCAAAGGGAATACTGGCCATTTTGTGCAACAGCATATAATACAGTTGTATGTACAGGTAGTCAAACAAAGCTATCCTTATGTGTGTGCATTTCGTCAAAATTTCTTTATTAAAGACACAAGTTATACTGCCTCATGTTACACCAGTTTAGAAACATTGGAAGGCTTTGCTAGCAGTTTTGTAGAAACCAAGGGTGATAAATGCGTGCTTATTTTGCCCAAGAACAATGAGGTTATCAGTAAAGGGATCCTCAACTTCTTTTTAATGAGAGCTATGAAACCTCTTGTATAATTTTACCACCAACTCGACCCATCCCAGCAAATAGTTAGTTCTAGCTGGTTCAGGCAAGCAAGAATTACAGCCAACTTTTCATCTCTGTATCTTAAACATTTGGTCTTTTGGACTTCCTGTAGTACAAACAACAAATCCACACCCAGTTTTCATTAGCATAACACCTGTAAAGGTTCAATTCTCTGCACATCAAATGACAGAAAATAAAAAGAACATTTTTGAACTGACAGTCCCAATGCTGACGTGTAGAAACTCCTACTGATAAGTAAACTATTTCAAAGTGGTCAACAGCCCAGTATGCAAAGACCAGTAACACTGACAGCTGTCATAAGATGAAAAGCCTGAAAACCTTTCCAAATACAAAGAGGTAAGATGGGGGACCAAAAACAATGCAAATGAGGGGGAAAGACAAGACAGTAAACAAAGGATGGTGTGGGGGATGACACCACAGCCCAATGGTTTCACCATCATCAGCCACGCTGGCCTAAGTACTTTCATGCTGATATCGCTATCAGCATGAAAAACATTAACAACTATGTTTGCAGTACTACTTCATAATCCCAATTAACATGCAATTATTTCCTATGCACTTGAGAATGACTCACAAATCAACATTCCCAGGCACTAGAGAGAATGCAAAGAAAGGCCAAAAGTTTCACATCCTTTACACTGTTGGGCTTCTTGTAATTTTAATTGCACAGAGAGGAGAGTTTTACATTAGTTAGATCCATGAAGACTGTTAGCTCAGGAACTGAAACATCTCATCATGACATATTATTTATCTTCCACTTAAAGCTAAACTAGTAGCAGTAAAAAAAAAAAAAGGCACACAAACCCCTTTGCACTTACCTATATATATTCCATGTTGCTACTGGCAAATTAAGGAGAAAGATGAACCAGTGCAATGAAATAAGCATTAATACAGTTACAACAGCATGGCCAATCACCTCAGGGACCACCCACTGCAAAAAGGGAAGAAGAGAGAAAAGTTGTATGCATAAATGTAAAATCCTTTCTGGAAAAGACATCTTTATGGAATTATCATCTGATTCTAATCATGTAAATCTCAGACAGAAAATTCATGGCAGAAGCATGCAATTTCATCACAATGCAGGGAAATTAATATCTTCAGACAGATTCCATGTCAGTAAGCCAGAAATCGGGCCCTAAAATATTATAACAGAGGTACTTTATCCAAGTATTACAAAAATTTCTAGAGAGAAGCACCACAGCTGCATGAACACAAGCACTTAAGAAAGTAAGTTAAGAAAGTATCCAGTGCTCATCTGAAATCATTGCAGAGAACAGTGGATTCAGGAATGAGAGAAGCAGATAATTAAAATCTGCACAGACAGGACATACAAACCCCCTCAGGCTTGGAACACATAAGAAAGCTGATCAATCCGAAAACTGGCATAGTTAAATTAGGTCAGGCCCTGGCAGCAACACATTTTTGGCTTTATAGTATCCTGTAGCATTCTCTCTTAAGTTAAGAAAGAAAATACCTTTAAATCAAAGTGAACACCCATGTGGGAAGTCCACATTGATTTAATGAAATCAGTTTTAAGCAATTTGGTTAAAACGGTGCTTTTCCTTATCACAGTAAAACCCTCTACTGTTTAAGAGAGGTTAGAAATTATACAGAAGCATCAGAGGAAGTTGCTATAAAGATCCCAGAGCTCAGTTACGAGTAGACATCCTTGGTGTGGTACACCTACAAGAACCAAAGTACCGAACTCAAGAGCTCTATGAAGCGTAAAGTCTCAGTCCCACAAATTCAGACTGGCAGCCCATCTCACAGCACAAAGGGCCAGAAGAACAGCCCATCGTGACTGAATTTGCTGAAAGAAGGGCATAAGAAAAAGCCAAGGAGACTGCAATAAAGGATACATGCAAAATACTGTATCCAATCAAGGCTCTTCAGACATACATTACACCCCTATTATTTGTGATGCTAAGATGAAGGACTGTTTTCTTAACCCACATTAAATGCAAAGAACAATAATTTACTTTATTGAGTTTTGAGCAGCATGATCGAGCGTTAATGTAGTCACACTCCAAATCTGATAGTGTAATTATCTGAAGTCCGAGATAAGGAAAAATTGTATGCTAATTCGGAATACACAAGGCTTTATTTTTATCCAATAAGTTGAGGAGAGCACTCTGCTCTCAGCACAGACTGTCATGTTCTACAGCTGATCGGCCAAAGGTATATTTCAATTAGTTCCAACTCATTCATACTTTAGGTAGAAAGTTAGGCCACATTTTATTATCAGGCCAAGCGATTTTATGATGTTTTTTCCCAATGGCAACTCTTACACAAGTGCTAAAGTTCAGTTCAACACTTAAAACAGAGCAGGGAGGCACACACAATGTTTTCAGTACCAGAATTATTCCTACAACACTTAAAACCAGAATTTAAAAGGAAAAAAAAGTTAATGCAGTTTTAAAACTCTCCTCACAATAAAGCTAAATAGTGCAGTTTTAAGAAATGGACCTACTTTTTTTACATTCACAGCAACATTGGATTAATTAATACTTTGCTAGGAAATAAGAGGGTAACATCATTACCAAATAAACTTTAAGCAACTAATATGACTATTTCAGACAGTAAAGTCCTCTCAGAAAAGGCTTACGATGCACATGTTCACATCATCGTGCTACACCCTACAAAGCTCATGCTCCTTTTCTCCAAGAAAATGAAAAAGCATGGAATTTTTTTCTATCCCTAAAAAACAGGTAAAGGCTCTTCATTTTTCAACAAACAACCTGTCCTTCTAGGATTAATTTCTTTCAAGTCCTTCTGTACCTTTTTCTGCTAGGAGAACTGGGTAGATTCTGAAATAGCACAAGGGTTTGAAAGGGTGTGAGAACTAATTCTCTTCTATTCAGAAAAATAAGAAAAGAAAGCAAATCAGCACTTTTACATTCTAACAACGCCAGACTGCAAAGACTGCAGATAAGTCTGTAACAGAGTATGGAAATTCTGTCTGTCGAGGAACTCACAGTCTCCCAGCTACCAGCTCACACCCAGGACAGAGTGAGGCATCTTTCCACTGTCATGTGGCTGTATTTTTAGGCCTGTGCAGTCTCTGCGGGAGGGGAGCACGCTTCGACACCCCTTCTTCTACACGGAGGCCAAGCGCACGCTCCTTCTGCCGTGGCACGATGCCTCTGCCACAGCACCGGCCCCACACGCCCAGGGCAGCCTGCAGCCCCGGAGTCCGGCCCTGGAAGGGCCG